GGTTTCTCAACTAGTGGGTCACAGAGTGTGTGGTCAAAAAAACAACAAAAGTTTATATTATAACTTTTATAGGTTAACAAACCCTAGAACATTTCCTGTGGTCCTTTATAAAAGGTTTTACCCTCAAAGCGTCCTCTACCGCAGTGTTAAATTGTTTGGCTTTAAATAAAGGCGTTGCTTTTGTGTGCACGCTCTTCTTTTTTTTATCATCAAAGTAAGAGGTCATGACAATCACTGGTTATTTCTTCGGCCTGTACATCTCACGCCGCCTGTGCATGAGTAACAAACAATACAGGTTTGAATGCAAGTGAAGCGGTTAAAGGTTTGGAAGAGGAAAAGGTGGACAGTAGGGGGTCTGTGCATCCTTGGGCCTTTCTCCTGTGTCATTGTGACATGAACACAGAGCACTGGATAAGCACCAGCGTTTGGATGAAATTGTGCACACGTTGCTGCCACTCGCTCAGTTTTATTGAAGGTCGCAGTGGGACAAACGGTAAAAACTGTGAGGAAAACAGACAGGAAGGGTAGTCTGGGAAGGTTAAGTTGTGTTATGTAATATCTGCACGTGTTTTTACTGCATGTGCGTGTATAAGTGTCTGAACGATTGCATGCGTGTAAAAAAACAAGGGCAGCTTGATGGAAAAGAGATTTAGGATTATTCCAAGGGTACAAGGAATAACAACGCTTGTCATGCACATCTCGTCAGGAAAACCTGGCTCTGTTACTAGTAAATCTGCTCTAAAGGCCAGAGGGCATTCTCATGCAGAAATGGCAAGTACGCCAAAAAGAAGAGACGGAGGAACCAAACAGAGCAGAGGACTGCTCTTTGATTGATTCAATGTGATGATCACAACTACAAGATCACACAATATGATTTATCTCAAACACTCGACTGAAGTTATGAGGGGAATTAGGAGTAAATAGTTATCGAATGTGGTATTTTCACATGCTTTCAGATGTAGCAGCAACAAAGAGTCATAGATTACAGAGAAGTGACACAATCAGCTGTCAACCCACAGAATGACTTTCTTTAATCTCAGGAATGAAAATTGTACTGAAATGTACACAATCTTTGCATAGATTGTAAGTGAACTGGCTCTAAGTAGTATATGATGCTCCATTAGAAATTTACAGGAGATTTACAGTTGCGGCTTTACTTGCAAAATACAAGTAGGTATCTATGCAGCCTGGAGATGTCCAAGTGGGAGGGATTACACCGCAAGTAGGTTGGGTGACCTCCAAGCAAGAGGAATGGGTTTAGGGGGTGTAGGTGGAGCAGATAATAGCATCACAAATTAGGTTACTGTGAGGTTGGGTTTAGGGTTGGGGTAGGTGTAGACATTCATAAAACCACAATATTGGACATTGTGTGAGGTACAAGACGTTAAATAAAACCCCCAGGTTTGTACAGCCCACTTGGAGCTGGCTCCCCTCTTCGTTTACACCCTTCTTCCAAAATGTGCATAAAAAATAATCTTTGCTCAAACAGCGAGAAAACTAACTCGAAATTGGCTACAGCTCGAACTCCCTACAAAATCTGAATGGTTGAATTTTGCATCTTCAAAATATTGAGAGGATGAGTTTTTTTTATTAAAACTACATATGGACAAATACCTGCAATATTGGGAGAATGGATTGTACTTATGCCTTTACACTGTGTAAACTGATTTTTATAAGTATTTGTTGATGTGACCTATAAAGAAAATATGTGACCAGTCAACTGTTCATTGAAGTTCTGATTTTGTTGATTTATTTTTTTTTTTTAGGAACTGAGCACCTACGGCAGGGCTATTCAATTGGTGGGCCGAACCCGGCCCCCGAGGCAATTTGTTCCGGCCCTCCAAACAGTGCGACCAAGACATCAAAAATAAATTTAGTTCAGTCGAAAAACAGCCACTATAGTTATGAAGTGAAGTGCGTCTGTTTAATATAGCACGAGCTGCATTTGAAGGCTGCACAGAGCTTGAGTCACCATAAGCGAGTGGCACAGGCAGCCGAAAAACTTTTGGAAGTGTTTGTAGAAAAGGTATTTTGTACAGTGCACTGATATCGTTAATAGGGAAGGAACAATTAGCCAATTTCACTATTAACTGGGCTTTAATACATCACAGTTAATTACTCGTAAAGGCTTCTTTAAGCCGCGTGGAATGAAACGAAACTGCTGCAGTTTACCAAAGTTATGCCAAGTTGCCAACTGTGCACTATTTTAAATTTCAATATGTACACTGATGCCTCATTCACACACGTCAAGGCTTCCCATTCACGTTGAATGGGTGACGTCAGGCATTGCCGAACTGCATTGTGGATCCTTCGGCACCGCTTCAGAGGCGTTGCTCGCTGCAGACGTTAGGACTAGCTTAACTTTAAGCGCTGACGGAAGCTTCAGCCAATCAGATCCCTGTATGTAAATACACCTGCTAGACGGTGGCCTATTGCTGACTGAATTTCATTGGCTGACGCTGCTGTGATGATCGCTTTAGCCCCAACTTCAGACACACCTTCAGTCAAGCGTTGACGCTGAAGCCCCGTGTGAATGGGGCGTGAGGCTAATATGCACGCACACGAATGAACTACAGCAACGGCCGTTCCCATATCACGCCTTTTCTGCTTGCAAGTTTGTAATTTCTAATGTAGGAATAGATGCCAATATGCACACACAAGCGGGGCGACATCTCACGGTGAGAGTTGTGCGTGCCTTTCAGTGCAAACAAAAGATATGTTTGACGAATTATTATTAAAGTGATTATGTACTGTATGTATGAACGCAGATGGCAACAACAGTTATTCTAAATAACTTCCCTAATATAAAGCTTGAATTTACATTAGACGTGAAATCATGATTATTCTTCAGACTATATAATCGTACAACCAAACTCTATCATTGTTGCATCCATAATTGTTATGCAGTTCAAAACATAACATATGAATGTGTCTGAATGTAAAAGAAGCCTACTTCAGCAATGCATTGTTTTTGTGGTGCTCTGAAATACAACATTTGAATGTTTGTATAAAAAAAAAGAAAAAAAAATCTATTGTACAAGGCACTGACTTTTATGTAGTTTCAAAATAAAATAAATTAACATAAAAGCCAACGTGGGTGTCTTAAGGGGCAAAAATCCAGCATATGAGTTCTTATATGCAGTTGTGTCATCACTCATATAGCAAGTCATATCTCTCCCGCCCTTCTTTTGGGATGCTTTTCATGAACCGGCCCCCATGACAAACTAATTGAATAGCCCTGGCCTACGGTTTATTCTGCTCCGTTTATTCTTCATCTTCTCTAAAATTAATCAGATTTTTTTTTTTTAAGATTTATTTTTGGTCTTTTTGTCTTTATTGGATAGGACAGTATTGAGACAGGAAGCGAAGTTGGAGAGAGAAAGAGAGAGAGAGAGAGAGAAGGGGGTAGGGTAGTGAAATGTCCTAGAGCCGGGATTCGAACTCGGGACACCCTGACATGGTACTGCAGCATATGTCGGCATGCTAAACACTAGGCTATTACACCACTATGAATTGCATTTTTGAGCGTCTAAACATGCTTGAAAACTCACAAAACTTTGCACTCGCCAAAAGTGACAAAAATTACATTTGTTTTCAGGTTTCTAAAGTGGGTGTGGGAAAATGGCTCAACAGCGCCACCTAAGCACAATTAATGAAGTGATCCCAAGCTACATTTCACGCACGCGTAGAATTCTTCAGTTTTCACCAAAGGGCGTGTTTGGGGCGGACTGACAAATTTCAGTGTTTCGCCATGGAAGAGAAAGTACTTCACTCAGGCAAACAATGTCTGATCTGCCTGAAAATTCACAGGCTCGATGAGATTCCTCTCCTGAACACATCTATATGCCAATATAGAGTCAAAGTCATAGCAAGTCATATGAGTGCATACACAAAAGCCTGAGAGCAGAAGCAATCCTTGGCTTATGAGGACCAGGAGCTTACTTGACATATAGGCAGGTGTGTTTGATAAGGGTTTCAACAGAAATCTGCAGGAAGGTAGATCTCCATGAACAGGGTGGTGTATGAGAGTTTAAGTGAGCATAGGAATGGACATGAATTTTAATGCATTTAAATATATATTCAGAGTATGGATTTGAATGCATGCAAGTAATTTAAAAGGTAAAATTTGTGAATGTGCATGTTAAAGTATGTATGTGGATTTGAATTAATGAATGCCTTTTTGTGTTGATATACAATATAAAAACTTGGTAACTTGCATGTGGTGAATGCATGCATGAGCATGATTGTGCATGTAAATTTATAGGTATGAATGAATTTGTTTAAGTGTAATAAGTGCATGCATGCAGTCAAAAAGTAAAAGAATTATAAACAGTTAAAATGTCAGAGTACTTAAAGTGATAGTTCGCCCAAAAGTAAAAGTTATGTCATGATTTACTCATCTTCTTCTTGCTCTAAAGCTGCATTTCATTATTCGGTTAAAAACAAAAGAATATTGAGACAAGCAGGAATCCTCTAAGCATCGACTTCAATAGTGTTAATATTAGATATTTGTTGGCAACTGATATGCAGGTCAAAAATGTTCACATAAATGATCAAATTATGGCTGTACTCAAAAAACAAATGTTGCAAAGTAGAATACTGAGCTGAACTTTTACTTAAAAGTACGGATTTAAATAAAATACTAAAAAGTCAAAATGACTAAAAAAAAAGCTGCTCAATTACAATAACACGAGTAGTTGCAAGTAATTACTTTCCATCCCTGTAATGATGCATGTGAATGCATGCGTAAGATCCCGTTTATGTCAGATCTGTGATGTATGTATGCAATATTATGAGCGTTTCCAGAGGAAGATGAGTAGCTTATAATATTGTCTTCAATTACTTTCATAACTATCCAGCGCAATATTACATGAATCATTCTAACACCCATAAGTTTAACACAAAAGCATTTTTATGTATGTGCCATTATCCTGCCAAACAACACTCTCGCCCACCCTCTCTAACTTCTCACATCTCTCTCTCTCCATTTCCTCACGCAGCAAACATCCTCACGGTGATCATCCTTTCTCAGCTTGTGCTGCGGCGGCAGAAATCCTCCTACAACTACCTACTGGCCCTGGCTGTAGCCGACATCCTGGTCCTGCTGCTGATCGTGTTCGTGGACTTCCTTTTGGAGGACTTCATCCTCGGAGCACCTCTGCCACACTCGCTCAACAAAGCCGTGCAGGTTCTGGAGTTCTCCTCAATACATACCTCCATCTGGATCACAGTGCCACTGACCATCGACCGCTACATCGCTGTGTGCCATCCACTACGCTACCACACGGTCTCCTACCCAGCCCGAACTCGCAAAGTCATCTTGGCGGTGTACGCTGGGTGCTTGATCTCCAGTGTGCCGTATTATTGGTGGCCGGAGCTGTGGCACGGTCTCCCAGGAGCGAGCCCTGGGGGGCGCAGCAGTAGTGCAGGACAGCATGTGCTAGTGTGGGTCCACTGCGCCACGGTTTACCTGCTGCCCTGCTCGGTCTTCTTTTCCCTCAACGCAATTATTGTCCGTAAGCTCCGCTGCCGTCGCAGCTGCTTCCGCCTCCGAGGATACTCGACCGGAAAGACCACGGCTATCCTTTTAGCCATCACCTCAGTGTTCGCCGTTTTATGGGCGCCTCGGACACTTATGATTCTTTATCATCTTTACACGGTGCAACCAGCGATGCCGGGTCCGGCTAGACTCCTGCATTTGGTAACGGATGTAGCGAACATGCTTGCTCTACTCAACACCGGGGTCAACTTCTTCCTCTACTGCTTTATAAGCAAGCGCTTTCGGAGGATGGCCGGGACGGTGCTCAAAGCCTTTTTCCGCTGCAGAAAACAGCCGCCACCTTTTTACGCCAGTCACAACTTCTCAATCACCAGCAGCCCATGGATCTCGCCTGCAAACTCGCACTGCATTAAGATGCTGGTGTACCAGTATGACAAGAACGGCAAACCAGTTTGCATATCCTCATGAATGCCAACTCGAGTCGTGCCATTCCAATATAAAGAAAGCTAACGAATCAAGCAAGCTTGGGAAAGTACTTCCCGACTGGTAGAAGGCAATGATGGGATTGCTAGGAAGTGCCTCAATAAGACACGTCCAGTGTCAGGCTCAGAGAAAATCTGGGTAAAATAAGGCTCATTGACTGGTGGAAAAAAAACAGGAGTTGTCATTAAGCTATAACAGCTAATTCCTTTCAGGAAATCAATGCAAAAAAAAAGACTCTCAACGTTAAGAATAACACAGAAAGGCTTGCTTGGAGTTCTAGCCGTTGACCATCCAAACTAGTGTGAGATATGTGTGGAATTGATAGACATGTCATGCTATAAACTATATTCCCAAACTTAAATATCATCAGCGAAGATATTCACTGTATCTCCAATCGCTAGCATGGTTTTGAGTGGATTGCACACCAAAGCAACATTTTTCGAAGAGGAAAAGGATTCAAAGCTAAAGCCGACAAGACGTTACTGTATGTCAACCGCCTTTCGCCTCTCACCTTCTCAGCAGAGAGAGAGACAGACAGAGCACTTCCTCCCTTTATGACATTAAAAACAAAGCTGGCATTTTAGTTTAATATGCCGTTGGTCTCCAAGGGCCTCGAAGCTCTTATTAACGCCTTTAGATATGCTCAGTGCTGGAAACCTGCTTCGATATTGCTGCCTGATGAAGAATAATAGCGAACGTGAAGACTTCTGCTTCAACAACGTCTAAAGAAAAAAAAAAGCTTCTGGTGCAACTGACTGTTAAATGTGCAATTAAGGCAAAAAACACCTTTAGAGAAGAATTAATATTCTTGATCATTCAAATCGATGTTTTAAGACACTCATTGCTCAGTACGTGAAAGGATTTTCTGTCACAGAGACAAACACGAAATAATTAAGACTTTGCAACTTCTAGCACACACAAAGACACACACACGCACATTCATTTATCCTTGGCTGGGCAGCCTCGAGAAAAAAAAAAGCGAATAAGAGAACAGTTTTCAAATAAAATCAATTGCTTTCTTCAGAGTGAGCTATTGGGGAAAGCCACATTCATTTATCTTCACAGGAGCGTGGTGTAGCGGGCTGCCATCTGGGGTGCTTTAACTGTGGTGCATATATATTTATACTATACGGCGGCGAACATGTTCCTAGATAAGGTAGACAACTTAAAAATGTATGATCTCTGTCGTAGACAAGGATATATTCACCTGTATTATTATAACCACAGGGCAAACTAGATGGTTCTGCTGGAAGCTTGGGGCGTTGTTGAAAATGTAAAAGAGTAATGGTGTTCGTTTGAGCATTGAAAATGGTGACTTTCCATTACAGCGTCCATCTTAAAGAGTGTGGATTTTAAAGGAATAATTCACCCAAAAATTAAAAATCTGTCAACATTTGATCACCATTAACTAGTTCCAAACCAGTTTGAGTTTTTAATTTTTGGCTCTGTCTAAAAGGAAAGAAGACATTTTGAAAAAATAGCCACTGACCTATATAGTATTTCTTTTTCCTACTACAGAAGAAGAACTATGTTTCAATCCAAAGATGCAAATTAACTTTGTGCGCATAACAGGAATATCACATAAAAGACGTGCGAATAAAGCAGCATTGCCATCCATTGAGTTAAGAGAACAAAAATCGCCATTTCCTGATTACCTGGCAGCTAATATCAACATTAAAACGCAATTTGCTGTGGTAGGAGAAGCTGCGTCAATCTTTTTTTATTTAATAAATTACTTGCGCTTCAGAAGACGATGCCGACGCGCAATAAAATCATGGTGGTGTGTAAAGGTATGAGACCTAGAGCACAGATGCTCTTGACAGTAATGGAGGTCATTTATAATATAATAACACTAATACTGAAATGGTTACGGCGTTTTAGACTTAACAAAACAACATTACAGATGTTTTACAGTGTGCTCAGCCTGCTGGTTTGTCCATTCACACAATTTTTTAACAAAATCACATGACCTTTTTTAATGCTCATACTGGAATTTGTTCGGTAAACGCGTTTCCATTATAGTTTATCCGCAACTGTACTTATCAAATAGCAAGTTTGTCCTCCTCAGTTATGCATATAAGCTTTTTATAAACATTTTCAAAAATGATGCACATCTTGGCGTTTCCATCAACTTTTTTTTTTTTTCGCAAATCCAAAATGCTCATAAAAATAGGTGAGTGGAAACATGGATAATGATTACAGGTTGGGCTGGGCTGATAAACTATATTATATTGAATCGTGATTAAAAAAATTATGTCAATAACAATGACAACCTCTGGACTTTTTTTTCCCTCTATTTTGATCAAAGAGCCAATCAGACAGCAGAAATATGCAACAATGGGAATCTAAAAAAAAAAAAAAAAAAAAAAAAAGTGTTGATTAAAGATGTACCGAATTTTTGGCCACCGAAAATTAATCAGCCGAAAATATGTTAAGGCATTGAATGGACCCTCTAATTTTTGTGGCTTCAGTCATTGTTATGGTACTCTTTTTGTCTGGAAGCATTAACAACTTATAGCCCAATATATGTTATTATATCAATATGGAAAATAATTATCAAGATTGCATTTTTTCCTTATCATCCCAGCCCTAGGTTCAGGTATTAAGCATTCCTCAATACATCTTCTCTTGTGTGCAACAGTACAAAAAAAAAAAAAAAAAAAACTCTCAAACTGGTTTGTAACAAGTAAAAGTGAGCAAATGATAGAATTTTCTTACTTGGGTTAACTATCCACCAAATTCCTGTCTGTTAGCTCTGAAGAGTACCTTAAGTGTTGTGTTTGCATACTCCTCAAAGCTAGTTTCTATGTTTAAAACTAAAAATATTAACCAATTATTTGTAAGGTTATATGCTTTTTTCCAACTATATGCACTTCCATGGGAATAAGTGTTTTTGTGAATCTTTGAAGTGAACAAATCAGTTCTTTTGAATGCATATTTTAAAGCAACGCACAACTAGTAGTTTGTGAATTCTATTTTATAAGGGCTAGAGCATATATACGTGTATGACTTTTTACATAACTGCTTTTATTGCCAAATTGCGAAGGACTTAAGAAAATTTCAAAACAAGACATTCCCCAAAATCTTAGGCTGACACAAGCACTGACTTTTTTATGTGAAGTTGGGAGGTTTATTAACATATACAACGGCAAACACAATCCGCAAATACTTCTGAACAATGAATGAAACAAATTCTGAATTATACATTGTTTGCTGCTTGTTCAAACTACTTATCTAAAGTGAGCTGAAACAACACAACTCTTAAGGTTTTTTTAAAGAATGTACTTAATTGTTTTGTGCTCAATCCACTTAAATTGATAAAAAAAAAAACTAGTAATTCAACTTAATTCTTTCATGATTTCCCAACACAAATTAATTGTGGAACCCAGCATTTTTTACATTGTAGCTTTCTAAATGTCACACAACGTCCCTTTAAATAAACAATACAATAAAAACATCTTGTCGTGCATATCTTTAGTGCATGATTTTGTTAACCAACTAAACACATATGCAGAGTCTGTGTTTTGAATCAAAGCCGAATCGAACAAGACAATTTTAGTAAATAAATTGAATGAACAGATGATTCAAACCCTATAGGAAAATCAAGAATCAGCCAGTGGTTTTGGTAAGCTGTGATGTTAAACTCATAAACAAAAATAAAAAAAAGCAAAAAAAAAAAATCTTTATGGATTTATTCGATATTAAGGTGTTTTCAAATTCACGTTTTAGCAATGAATAATGTACTTGATATGCAATTATTTTGTGGGGCAGCCTGTAATTATGCCTATTGATTATTCTCGCTGTGATAATCAATTATACTAATAATATGGACTCTGTAATGTAAAGTCTTACCAAATCACTTTTTCCCCCCCTCACCGAGTCGAAAGTTCAAGAAATGTGAGCCCTTTTCAAGGCTAACCTGTATAACCCTGTGCGATATCTGTGACATGTCAGTGATATATAGCCAAAAACTTAAAAATGAGCGTGCAATATTGTGTTAGATATGTACAGAATACAAATCAAGCAAAACTATAGACTAGAACGTCAAGGTGCTGCTAAAGTGTCTGTACTGTTTTTCTCCAAACGGATTTTTAATCTTTCTTACTCGTTTCTACCATCTGTTGCTTTCGCCCGAGACAGTGTTGTAAAAAAGCAACAATCAATCTTCAATTCATGCATACACTTCTCACATTATGTATTCATGGAACGGAGGAAAAATAAGAGAAGTGATTAAAACAATACAATCCAGACCTGACACGGTTAAAAAAAGTATTGTTATTTATTTCTTTTATAATGCAAGGACATTTGTAAGTCTTTCTGTGACATTTATTTAATACTGCAATGAAGGGCCAATAACAAAACAATAATAAATGTGCTCATTTTGTCCTCTGAACAATCATAAAGTGTATATATTTGGACTTTACTGCCTATGTGTTGACAAGACACATCACGTGAAGCCACGATTAGCCTTCATGCAAAAAAAAAACATAATTAAGGGGGTGAGAAATGTTTCCTGGAAATCTTTTTAATAATGTCATGCCTGCTAATGCGGTCTACTAGACGCTAAAATATTTATTTTTAAGCACATACCTGGAAAAACAGGACATTGTACATATTTTTTTCAAAACACTTCAGTCACTGAGGTTGTTTGATTTGTGTTCAAGAAGGAATGCATTTAATTAAATAGCATATTTGCCTTCTAAAGACATCGTTGGCATTTTCTTTTGACAAGATGTTTGGTTTGATTCTATGTATAAGCCAAGTGAATGTATTTGTGTGCATTTTTGGTGAATGTTTACTGTATGTTATGGGAAATAGCATGCAAGTTATTCTGATGTATATTTTCTTCATTAATTAAAAAAATATCATCAACTTTTACTAATGTTCAGTGTTTGAAATCAATTCTAGCGATATTCTAGGATTATAAACCACAATAAATAAAACAACATTCTTGGGATTTAAGAAATGACTGTTTTATAATATCATAAGGCTTTATGATAAATGTAGAGGAGTGCGGAAAACAACGTAATGCAGGGTAAAACGTAATGCAGAGTTTTAAGGTATTTGCTCAGGGTTGACCATGGCATGTTTCACCAGTGTCAGCAGACATCTTCCTGCCGATTATTGAAAAAGTTTGGCGAAATCAGGTTGAGAAACACAGGAAAAAACATTTTTGCAGCACAAAAGTATTTTTTTTATAGTCGATATATATATATATAAAATATAAAAAATATATATATTTTTTTTAAACAAATCTGTGAAAGTATGTATGCAAAATCTTATGAGCAATTCCATGCAAATGTCAACCTTGCAAAGAAAAAAATTATGCTTTCGCCAAAATATCCAAACCGTTTCTACATTTCTTTTGTGCAAGCAAGTAGGGCTGTGCAATTAATTGAAAATCCGATTTAGATTTTGGTTTTTAATGATTATGAAAAACCATTAATCAAGATAAACGATTATTCCATTATTTACCGCCCCCTTTACAGGTGTAAACATTTAAAAGCGCGAACTAAACCGCATGATCCTGTGTGTGTGTGTGTGTGTGTGTGTGTGTGTGTGTGTGTGTGTGTGTGCGTGTGTGTGTGTGTGTGTGTGTGTGTGCACACACAGTCAGAAGCATGCGGTCAGCATTCGGTCTCATTCGCACACTGTGACGAGCAGAGCATCTAAAGTCATCTTAATGTGTGCGTTTTATTGGTCAAATAGGTGTCAAAACGCAGTGTTTAATGATTATTCATATTAACCCTCATTTGTGTAATAAACAAACGAGTTGAGAATCAAAACAAACTTGAAAGTTAAACCATTAAAGCGCCTGTTTAATCATTATTAATCAAATAACAAAAAGAGAAAATCCCTCGCTGCCCTTGACTGAAGAACTGTTGTAGCTAAAGTGTTTTTCTTACAGTGAAGGTGCTTAAAACACAGTTTGTTTCATATTTTTATTCTATTGTATTTATTTCTCTTTCCTTTGCAGGGAGGAAAGTAACTGTATTCAGTTGAAGTCAGAATTATTAGCTCTCCTGAATATTAGCAACCCTTTTCCCCCAATTTCTGTTTAATGGAAAGATTTTTTTTTCAATACATTTCTAAACATAATAGTTTTAATAATTCATTTATAATAATTTCTAATAACTTATTTCTTTTATCTTTGCTATGATGACAGCACATAATATTTTACTAGATATTTTTCAAAATACAAGCATTCAAATTCAAAGTGGGATTCAAAGTCTTAATTAGGGTAATTAGGCAAGTCATTGTGTAACAGTAGTTTCTTCTGCAGACAATAAAAATGTATATTGCCTAAGGGGGCTAATAATATTGACCTTAAAATGAGTTTCAAAATATTTAAAACTGCTTTTATTCTAGCTGAAATAAAACAAATAAGCCTTCCTCCAAAAGAAAAAATATTATAGAAAATACTGTTAAAATTCCTTGCTCTGTTAAACATCATTTGGGAAATATATATATATATTTTTTTACATTTCAGGAGCGCTAATAATTTTGACTTTAACTTATAATCGTTTTGAATAATCCTGATTACAATTATGACTAAAATAATCGTGATTATGATTTTTTTTTCTCCAAAATCGAGCAGCCCTACAAGCAAGTATTTTACAGAGCTTTAAAAATACTCAAAATTGTCTGTCAACGTTTTCAAACAATTATATTTGATTTACCAAAATCAGACAAGTGCCAATTTCACATCACAATGAAGAGACGTCACATCCGTAACGGAGCTTTTTCCTCAAAAATGCAAAAATTTCAAATAAAATAAAATCATAAATTTTCGTTCTATAGTGAGCAGACTCTTTCCTTTTAGATTATCATTATTTCTTTTGG